ACCATTATTTATCCATCTTTTTTCACTCTAGTCCACACGTTTTTGATCCCACTTATTATCCCTTCCATTACAGTACTTCAAATTAAGAAGTTATCTTTTTTCTGATAATTAATTTGGAGAAAGAAAACAAACGGGACTTAAGATCCCTCTGGGGATAATGGAATCAAGGCCTCCTCTCCATCCCCTCCCTTTTGTCTTTTTCTTTTCTTTTTCTGACTGACACTTATTGATCCGGGGATCATGACTTCCAATTACCTGCTTTCAAAGTCACTTTAAGTCGGCAGCAGGGGACCCGACTCAGGGGCATGTCCTTCAGAAGGGTGGATGGGGGAGAAGGAGACGGCTGGTGGAGGGAGAAAACAGAGAGTTAATGGCCAGCTTGTGAGGAGTCCTTCCTGCCTTCTGTCCGGGTTTAACAAACGGTCTGGATCAGTAGCTTCAGGAGGCTTCACTGCAAAATCTATTCCAGACCCTCAACAGCAAGTTGTTGATGCCTGTTCCATTTGTGTTCATCCGCCAATTATATCAGGAGTGGCGTGTTGTTTTGTCTGGAACCGAATGTGCTATTTGTCTCTCTCGGCAAGGACTTCCTCTTTAAAAACATTGTGTTGCTTTTCCAAAAATGCTTCTCATGCATTTCAACGAAAAACAAATCACCAGTAATGAATCGTGCAACATCTCTTTTGTGAGTCACTTTCTTCAGATTGTGTTTGTTTGTTTGGAGCAGCCCATCATTAACGCATTTTATTTCCATCCCACAGAGCCGTCCTCCCTCACGCAGTTGGACAGCGACATGAAGAAACAGGAGCACCTGTGGCAGAATCACTCACCCAACTTCCTGTCAGAGAAGGCTTTCAATGCAGCAGTGGCAGCGCTGCAGCCACACTGCGCTGTCTGCTCCCTCTTCTGTCCATACCCCGAGGTACAGCACACTGCAGCGGACGCACACATGTGTCCGTGGAGTAGAAATAGTAGCTATAGTACTAGTAGTTCCACAATGTGTAGTTGTATCAGTTTAGCAGGTTAGTCTTTGGTCAGTCAGTTAGTTTTGGTACACTATTTTGTCAGTGTGACCTAAAGTTTATTTGTATTTATTTGTTTATTTTAACGAGGGACTATTGCACAT